AGCATATGTAACTTCACAAGGAACTATCTTTGCAATTTTGTATAGTTCAAAATTGTGTCTTCCCAAGAAAACAGTATCACTTTTATTACATGAAAATACAGTCAAATCCCAGTAATTTACATTAATGAATTACGCTTTTCTGTTCAATGCCTAACTAAAAAACAAGCACTTACAGCTTATTTCACTTGTCTAAATACAACAATATGATGATTGTTCATATGAAATACATCATACCATACATGCTACTTGATGATCTCTGCTCCTACATGTATGTGGGAAGAGAGAAGCTTTTCTGATTAACGTCACTAGATGAGCTATATCTGTTCTGAGGCTCACCTCCACAACTTCCCTCTCGTCTTGTCTGGGTGAGATGAGCCCTTGCTCATGAGTTATAAAGTAAGCATAGAGAGTTCCATTTTTTTGTGGTTCCAATAACACTTTTAAGTTAATCATTAGGCATCCTGTATGCCCAAAAAGCTGACTCACAGGTTGTTCCCTCTTCTTTAAAAATGAAGAAATAGCAACACAGAGAGGTGAGATGTTGAAACCAGTGAGGTGGGGACACAATGAGGAGTAAGCACTTGGAATGTTCAGCCTACACCCTTTACATTCTGGGTAGAAACTTCCAGAAATCCTAACTGCCACCAATGGTAGCTCACCCAGTATCTCAAACCCTGAGCAGGTGGGCAGGCTCCATCTAAGAAGTCCTGAGAAAAGGAAAGCGGATATGAGATGCAGCTGGCCTGGAGAACAGAGTATATTTATCAAGTGTGCGCACCAATTACAAATCAATGGATTTAACTGAAAACAGCAGAAAAATACCTTTCTGGCACTTTTCTTGGCACAACTCTTCCAGAGTAAAAGGAAGTCAAGTGTTTCCAATTCCTTCTTTGAAATGGAAGTGTAAGAGAAAGAGTGTGGTATAATCTTTGTGGGGGGGGGGCGGGGGGAAGGGTGGGGGGAGAAGGTAGGGAAAGCATTTCTGAAAATGATGTAATGACATTTCAAGAATTGTACTTAATCCCCCTGAAATTTGAATCACAATAGCATCTACTCAAAGGGAATTCAAGACATTTTCCTCTCAGAATCAGGATGACAACTATCTGTACCAACACCAGTAGGGTCTGCTGGTTTTCACCCACCTTCCTCTTGCACCTCCCTCAGGGCACGTCCCTACAAAGTCAGAATAAAACCTTCATAAAATGAATTCTACAGAACTGAGCCATCTTCACTTTAAAGCAAAACAAAAAATCACTCCTGCCTTAAGCAGTAGCAAGCAGCTTAGACTTTCATACCTGTATACCAGGCAGCAGGCAGCTGGGAATCTCCCCAGGATCCATGGTGACACACAGTGACCTTGATTCCATTCCACCATGGCTTACTGAGGGCAGTGAGGAAAGGACAGTGGCATGGGGAGGGGAGACTTTCCATTACTCGCTGCGTAGTGTTGGGGCAGGCAACAAAGCCAGGAGGGTCAAATCAGGTACAGGGCCTGCTTAGGGGGAGCATGCGTGGCAGGAGTGCACCTGGGCCTCAGCCCTCTCCTGCACAGCTGATTCCGCTCTCCAGATTGAACAGTGCTAACAGATAAGAAAAGATGCAACTGGCCACCACTGAGGGCTTTCCTAAGAGGGTCTCCCCAGGAGAAATGCTTGACAAGGGCAAACACCAGTGTGTGGGTGTTTTTAAAGGAGCAGAATTCAGAACAAATACAATACTGGTTAGATGAAAAATTCTTAAACGTGTCGTGTCCCTTCACCCATCTTCTCCCAAACACTATGTGGAAAGCTGAGGTTCTAACACCTGCTGTGTGAAATGTAGCTCACAGCCTGGAGAATTCCGTATTCAAAAGGAAGAATGGACTAGTAGAGGTCAGGCTATACAAATAGAAGGGTTTTTAGTTACCTTCTTTAAAGGCCATTAGTACTCGATGCCAAGTGCAATAGGTAAACCTAGTACCAAAAGTACTATTCACTTTACAAGTATTTATCATCTTGATCAGTGGCCAGAGGCAGCCCTGCCTGCCATGACTCTGTAGGTGCCTCTTCTTTTTTCTTAATAAATCTGTCCTTAAATGTCAAAAAAAAAAAAAAAACCTCACATGTATTTATCATTTCATTTAATCCTTACAGGCTACTGTTTGCAGTTTTAAAAAGAGAAAATTGAGGCTGGGTGGGGATAAGCAGTATATGAAAGGAGGCACCATGCTCAACTCCAAAGGTTCTGCTGCTTTTCTTTCTCAGGAGAACTTTATTGTGGGCCATGTGTAATGGCTTAGGAACGCAGGGATTGCTTTGGGATTTAGGTCAGGCGCCATGAAAGTGCCAATAAGCAGACATATTTCAACCTAATGTCTCAGCGGAGGCCTTGCAGGTTGAGAGGGTAGATCTATTCCAATATTCTAGAAACACCCCACAGCAACACGACTAACCACTATCACTCAAATCAAGAAACTCTACGTACATGTTATCCATTTTTCTCTTAATTCCACTTCCATTTTGTAATTCAGCCCTTAAGATTTTCATGTTTAGCCTATCGATTTATTCAGTTACAGACATACAGGCTGAAATGTGCTACACCTTTATGACGAGTTAATTTGATTACATTCACACACATTACTTAGTAGAACTCTAAATCACAAGGTAATCTAGTGAGAATATGAAGGTTGGGTATATATTTAACTGTCAGAAAAATGGAGGCTTAGAGATACTTAAGTTAAAGCCAGGTTATTCTTGCACATATCTGTTCAATCTGTCGACTACTATTCAAAACCACAAATTCTTATAATTTGCTCTGAAAGATGCAAGGAGAGGTGGATTTGGGGTCTCTCAGAGCCTCTGGGACATCCACAGATGGCATTTCTGAGCACCAGAGCTCTGCTGACCCAGCTCCCTGCTTGAAGCTCACCGCTATTTTCAACTGAGTGCCAGGTCCCTTGGAAAAGTAAGGGTGAGGGGAGCTTGGCCTACAGTATCCTGCTGAAGTGATGGCTGAGGGCATGAGGGAGAGGAAAGATGGATGAACCCCGTAAACAGAAAAAGGCAACAAGGGAGAAGATGGGGGCCTGGGAGGCACTGTTTCTGTGACTCAGACCAGAGGACAGGAATGCATATTTCCAAGATGAGCCACCAACATTCCTCTGGAGAAGTGACGGTTGGTCAGGTCAGTTCAACTGCTGTGAGGACACTAAATATAGGTCCTAAGAATGTGTCTTTTAGGAAGGGGCTGGAGGAAGTGGCGGGAGAGAGGCAGACAGAGAGGGTGTTGTAAGAGCCAAGCACCTCCGCCAGTAGATTCCCTAAGCAAGGTCATTTTCGAGGTCAAGGTCCAACACTTTGGCTATTTCTTTTCAAAAGTGTAATGTCCTTCTCTACAAAGGACATGAAAAATTTCTATTTTATGAAAGGCTTATTCCCTAAGTTTTATAGTCAAGGACCATTTATTAACTCTCAGAGACAAACAAACAAAAAAGTTAGATTCTGTGGTCATCTTCGACTTCGAGTATAAGAATTACTACAAGGTGGCAGGATTGAAGAACAGCTTTCCAGTGGCAAAAAAAAAAAAAAAAGCATCTACACAAATCACAAATATAAATTACAGCTAATGCTATCATAAAAATGTAACAGAAGAGAATGTGAAAAACAAACCAGGCGTAATCGTCCCCAAAGCCAGCGTACAGTATGTTCCTGGATCACCCTACGTCTCTGTGCACACACCAGGGTCCTCATTTCAACCTCTCCGGGGAGCCACCTCTTTTGGGAAATAGTGGGACACTAGATTATTAGGTAGGCTTATGTCATTTTATATATTTACACACTTCCTCCCCTCCTCCCATTCCCCAAACTCTCATGACCTCAGCTTATTTGGAAATACTTGTTTGTTTTTTTTTTTTGGTTTACAGTACAGGATGATTTGACTTGGGCTGAAAGACGATGCTTGTCCCCTCCATCCACATCTTCCCTATACTCAAGAAGGAGGTGGACACAACAAATTAGTGACAGGCAGCCACACTGCTACATCAAGCCTGCTCGAGGCTAAGACAAGGCTGTCAACTACATAAACGTTACTAAACCACTGCCCGGGGGAGGTGGAGAAGGGACACATCATGACACTCACAATGGCGGCCTCAAGGTCACTTACAAAGTGAGAACCTAGAAGTTACACAACATTCCTTCTTTCATTCTAGGTCCTCCAGAGAGTGATTATTAGTAGATCCAGACAGTAAAAGCACCTTTGTAGCTGCTCCGCTGTCCTGCCCTTCCGTCAGCAGTGGACACAAGGACAACGGCCTAGGGGCCGGTGTGGACCACACAGGTCATGCTACACATAGAGCACCTGAGCCACCATGGGAGACATGTGGCATTTTTCTTTGATAACCTTTGTGTAAAGCAAAGTTTTAAGAACTAAAGGAGATAGTTATTAAATGGCAAAGAGGATCCAGAAAACAATGCAATGAGCCTCTTATTAAACAAGCATATAAAGAGTAAGAGGTGAAAGAGTGCTTTTGTGTCAAGGTCAAATGAGACAACAACAAGTAGGGAATGGCCCTCTGAAGTCTCAGAGCTTCTTGTCCCTAAAACTAAGTTAATCTTTTAAAACAGGAGCCACAGTGTTCTTTTAGTGGATTTATCTGAGCCATAGTCCTTTTAAGAAAGTGAAAAATGTGTTAGTGTTGGAGAAGCCCAGAGATGGTCCCACTAACCAACCCCTTGGGAATTAGGGATAAGGTGATGGAGGCCATCTTGGGGCATCACACAGCTGGTGATGGCTTGGGGGAGGACCAGGCAGAACTGTGAAAATAAGATGTCTGCAACCTCCAGAGTCTCTGTCTGCAATGCGGGCAGGGATCTGGCTGCAGCAGAGAGAAGATCCTATTTTTCCTACCCAGGCTTAGTTTAATACTTTACCCCAGACAATCTTCACAAGAATTATTCTCTCAGTTAAAAAAACAATACCCTTTTTACCTCTCAAAGAACTGAGTTTATTCCCACTTGTTTTACCTGGGGGGGCCACTCGGTCCTGGTAAGTGGGCTTGAATTCATTGATGGTGAGCAGCATCACTTGGATGGTTCCGATGAAGATGCCAGCCAGGCAGCCATAAAATATCACATAGAAGAGAAGGATCTTAACTGCAGGGAGAACACACAGAAACAAAAGGCGTGATGCAACCGCAAAGTCGGCATGCAGGATCATCTTCTCCGAGACGAATGCATTTCCTGTCTTTCCCCAGCTGATTTCTCCAGTGCCTCCAACATGGTTGATGATGAAACTTGCTCCCAGACAGTGAGGTGAAAATGGGGAGATGGGCAGCCCCCCACTAGAGTGAGAGAAGGTATGTGTATGACTGTGTGTGACTGTGTATGCACATATATATCTGGGGATGATGGTTAAGGTAAGAGGAGCCTTAGATCAGTTAGAAGTAAGAATCTTTAGGAGCAAGAACAGTTCCTAAATTAAAAATATTTTTTCACGAAGATCATCAATAAAATCTAGGGCTGTACATGTGTGCTTATGCAATGCTGTTCAAATATGACAATACGCTCCCATAGAGACCTGTGTTTTCTTTGCTTGCTTGTCCCTTGACATTTGAATCTTACAATTCAAGCTCTACTGCTTCTCCAGACGCCTGGATACCTGAGAGTTTGTGTGCTGGGACCAAGGGGCAGATGCTGAGAAACCCAAGGACGTTCTGTTGCTGTTCTCACCCATTTCTGATTTGTATTACTAACTGCATGGTCTTTCCCTTGGAGGAGACTAATATGGGAAGAAAAAAAGAAAATCTGAGAGTAAAAGTGGCCAGCGCCATTTTCATTTCAATCTTTTGATTGGCCCCAGAATAATGACTGACTGGCTAGGACCCATTTTCTTTTTCCCACAGTGAACAGGATAACAGGATGGAGGCCAAAGGCTGAAACAGCTGCAAAAAAAAAAAAAAAAAAAAAAATGATGCAAAACAAAAATCCACAAAACCTGTGGACTGGAATGAGGCTATCAGTTACTGGTTTACAAGGATTATCTCCCTGATTAGCAGCATAGTAACAGGCTGTGCTAGGCATTGCCCGGCAGCCCTGTGCCAGCCCAACAGCTCGATGTGAATGCAAAAGTGAGAACAAGTGGACCGTAAGGTTATCAGGCTTGAGGCATGACTGCACAAAGCTGCCTTAGGTTACATCTGCAAACATCCAGATCTCATGCATTAAATGTTGGGGTCCTTGGGGAAAAGCCACATAAGAAAAGTATTACTAAAAAGGAGTGTGTAAGTGTGGATGGCACGGGATGCACCGTGCTGCCTGAATGAGCAGGGCTACCCTCCCCCATGCATGTAAACGCCCCACTGTCTCATCAGCAAAGAAACTGCTGGGGGGAATCATGTTGTGGAGTTGTTAAAACAAGTCAAACACATAGAAAACCACAGCGACATGTTTTATCATGAGCCTCTATCAAGAGCAAAAAAGGGAAAAGGCAAAGACAGCAAGATAAGGCAAAAATGGGGGAGACTACAGCTGCCCAACTCAATCAGTGCCTCCCAGCAGGAGAAGGGTTAAGTGCTGCATTCTGTATCCAAGCAGCAGTAGGCAAATGGCAAGACTGTGACGTCAACAGATCTGGAAAATTTTTCCAGAGAATGCTCCTAAGAGGTGCAAGAGTTGATAGAACACAGTCAGAAGAGAATGGTGAGGGCCTATTATATCACTGCCCCCCGCCTCATCTTGGAGCTCTGAGTTTCACCACGTTTGGCTCTTTTAACCAGGATATTTTATACTCATCCCTTGGACTCTAGATATTTAATTCTAACAAGGTAAAAAGGTACAGAATTGAGGGCACAATTTGCAATACAAATAGAGCAATGGAAAAACAAGTTGATCTGCATGCAACCTGATTAAATTTAAGATCCTGCCTTCCATTCTGCCTGCCACTGAGGAATTATTCTCTTTTGCTCTATTACTCAGTAAAATCTCCCCAGTTACTATGGGAAGATTACCTGCTTAGAAAAGAGCATGTAGGAATGGGGGGCCTATCACAGGGGTTCAGAGACAGAGGCCACCAGCATCTACTCAAAAAATTTTTAGAAAAAGGACAAACTGTACCAATGAGTCAGGGTGGCACAGGAGGTTAGCTTTAGATACATTTTTCTTCTCTTTTTTAAAAAAATATAAGCAACATAAAGGTTTTCCAGGTAAAAAAAGGAGTACCCTTCAAAGGGTCACAGGCAAACATACAAAATGGCATCTGGGCCCAGCGGTAAACATAGAAACCTACCAGTGCCTCTGTTAACTTAATAAAAGGTGGAAAGCACAAGGTGATTTGAGTGCTGCAATTTCTCCAGCAGGTGACAGGCAAGACACCTGCGTCCATCTTGGTGAAAATATACCTATAAGCAAAACTGAGCCAAGGGCAACTTGCCCTCATCCCAAGGGCATCATGTCGGGCCCAGAGCTGGGGAGGTGTTATTTTCTCCAAAGGAGCTGACATTTTTTTCTGCCTAAAAGAGGTTCTGTCATTTCTTAAATTTCCAGTAAAGAGCAGACATATTAGTGCAAAACAAAAACTGGCACCTGCACCTTGGAAAATGGAAGGAAAGAAGAGATAGCACCCTTGTGCCCAATCCATAAGTCATTGTATTGACACCTTGCTGGATATGGTATTAGGACACAAAAATTCACACTCACACACACATTCTCATGGAGGTGCTATAATATTAAATGCTGACTTAAAGAACAAATTGTTCCAGATAGCTTTATTCTCTAAAACAAATATCATCCTGAGACTGAGATGAGAACAGGGATACATTTTACGAGAAGGAAACACTGGAGGACAAACTGCACCCTGTGCACATGCCTGGCCCGTAACCAGAGAAGGGGGCCCATTCTGCATCTGCAGCAGCCCCCACCCCCCACCAGTCTTCACTCAAGTTATGGGGAGTTGCTAGGAGATGGCCCTGCCCGGAGCTGTTCACCTACACATACCCTGAGTTCTTTGGGTTTCCCCTTCCACATTAAGAAAACAAGGGAGCTATCTTGATATATGAGAAACTACAGCACTAATCCCACTGTAGGACAGAGTCTCCGAATCAAATAAAACATAAAATAAAAGCTAAAGGCAATTCTTGAAGGACCTGCAATTTTTCTGGCTCAGGGCTACCTATGCTTCGCAGTTGAAAAGAGGTTTCACCTTGACTATCCTTGAAGTGTGATGCATTATTAACCCTTTACTTTTCAACCCAGGGAGACTCACTGCAAGCTGCTATTTCTTTCTTTACAAAAATCATATATTCCAGCTCTTCCCATTTCAAAATGTCAGCCAAGCACCATTTCCCTGACTCATTCTCCTGCTGATGCCCACAGATTCTCCCAATCAGGAACACTGCACCAGCCCCTACCCTGGGCTCCCTTGGTGGCTGCAGTGGTGGTACTTGTGGTGTAGATGATAATGGTGGTGATGATGATATTAGAGAAGGAGGAGGGGGCAGTGATGCAGGAGAGGGGAGTTCCCTCCCTCCCTCTCACCCTTCCGCAGTCACGACTCTTATACATTTGCCTACAACTCTGCCCTTCAAAATGACCTTTAAAAAAAAAAAACTGTCAGCCTTCTGGTGTAATGAAGCAAAAAACAAGTAAGGTATCTAATTTTCAATGGGAAAAAACAATGTCCACCCAGCTAAGCAACAGGCTGTCCAAAATCATCTAAGATGAGCTGCTACTGCCTTTGTGCCATTTATTTCTTAGATCAATCCTTTGCTATAATCAACCCAAGCTACTGATTCTGTATCTTGTAGACACTGAAAACAAACCACATTTTGCTTGTTTCTGTAGCCAAGCCTCAGAAACTGGAATTCTGACATGGAGCTTCCTGACATGGGCCATTTCTGGGCCTTGATGTCTCCAGGGAGAGGTCATGGGGGAAAACTCTGGGCATAGCTATGAAATACTGCAGTGTGGATGGATTCTCTCTCCCCGAACTCCCTCATTTAGAGGTACATGTTTAGAGTAGTAGAAAGGTGTTATAATACATACAAACTCATCTGCATTTGATCCCATTACCTTCATGAGGTTCTCTCAAAGCCTCAACGCTCATTTTCCGAGAACTTGGGAGAAGAATGTAAGTAGAGAGTTAGCGGTCTCCCAGGGTCTGATCATTGCCAGGAGGAGCTGGTTTAAGCGATGCTCGGGTAGACTGCAAATTACCAACGCCGCTACAACATTCAGAACCCTTTGCCTCAACGCTACCGCCCTCCACCCCGCACGCGTGCAGGGGACTCCGCAATCCGCAGAGTGACAAGCCCAGGCCCGTGCGACATTATCAGGGCCCACCGCCCTAACCCCCTCTACGCTCGCCAACGCGCAGGCTGCGAGCGGTCCGTGAAGCCGCGCAGGGGGTGCGCCGCCCAGAGAATACCAGGCGCTTGGGGCCAAAGCCGGGGACCTGTACTTACACCAACTGCCACCGGTCCTGCCCAGAAACTCCTTTTTCTCCGAGTTCCAGATAAATTTCTTCCAGCTGCCTTCCTCTTTGGCTTTACCGCGGGCCATGGTGACGAATCAGCAGCTGCCGCAGGGACTGAGGGTGGGTGACTGGGCACAGGCCCTCACGTCCTCTCCGGCTGTTGGTCCGCGTCCTCGGTCTGTCTCTCCACAGGCTGCAGCCGCCGCTACCGCTGCGGCTCTCCGAGTGCCAGACGCACGGTACAGGAGCAAAGGCAGAAGCTGGAGGAGGAGGAGGCGGCGGCGGCGGGGGCGGAGGGAGGAGGGAGGGACCGCGCAGGCCGGCAGCTCCGAGACCCGCACCTATTGGTGGGCGCACGGCCGCTCCCGGGCTCTCTTTGGTCTGCCAAGCGCTCCCCTCGCCCTAAGGGGCTCAGGGGCTCCGCAAACCCGCAGCTGCCACTCCAGCTACCACCTAGAACGAATCTTGGCCCCCACCTCCTGTGACCTCTGCGGAGACAGGCAGGGGGCAGGAGAAAGTCAGAGGAGAGGACGGACAGATGGACTGCCGCCCCGGCACGCGAACACACGCAGAGAGCCGAGAAATTGGCTGAGAGCGCACGCCCTACCTTTACTATATACCGCGCCGCAAAGGCCCAGGGCCCCGCCCACTAGCGACTGGGATAGCCAATCCGCAGTGTGGGGGCGGGGCCTGGGTCCCGATGGGCGGGCTCGGGGCCGGCACAAAGAAGCCGCGGCGGCTAGAGAGGCGGCCTGGAGAGGGGGGCCCACTGGGAGACGGGGAGCAAAGGGCTGGGAGAGAGCCGGCAGCCCTGCACTGCACCCTCCTTGCTCCCCGCTGCGTGCGAACCCGCTCCTTTCGTAGTGGGGTGTCCTGCACCTGCTTCACTCTACATCCCGTAGAACCGGGGACCCTAGACCCGCAACCCTTCCTGCCCGCGTACGCTCCCCCAGGCACTCCGGGCCTCTCTCCGCTGCTGATCCCCCATGCTACGCCCAGGCGGGGTGGGGGAAGGTCATTTCGGGACGCCAGTGTGCTGGGGACTCTGCCCTGCCCCGCCCCTCCGCTCCTGCACCTGCCGCCCCCTCGGCGCTCCCTGCCACTGCGGTTGCAGTTCCGGCCCGTCCCTCTCCTTCCAGGCCAGCACAGCCGGCAGTCCCGGCTCCTAACTGCCTGACTGTGCTCATTGTGGGCGGCCTGAACCACCTCAAGCGGGACAATTGCCAAAGCTACCCAGGGCGGCAACTTAGAGTCATAGCTTGGAAGGGGTGGGAGGTGTACGGGGCCAAGCAGCACCCCCCACCCCCACCCCCCACAAATAATTCCATAGGAAAGGAGCCCACTGCTTAGCGGCTCTCATCATTCTAGATTTCTCCTCCCCCTCATGTCTACACGTGAAACCGTCGCTGAGGACTCTCCTTGCTTTCCAGTTGGTGACTGGTATGCTCACTGAATTATTTTATGCCCCCTTAGGGATGCTGACCACTTTGTTCTGCGACATAAACTCTGGGACTAAAGGGGATTGGGGAGACCCAACTCATATGGCAAGTCATTGTGCGGCAATTCTCTGCTCTCTATCCCCCTTATCATCCCTTATCCCCTGTTGCTGAAAAGCCAAACTCTGGTTTCATTTCCCTCTGCTGAGCTCCTGGGCAGCTTCACACATCTTTCTCAGGGCAGTGACACAGCAGAAATCCTAAGGGGTGCCTCTGCAGACACTGCAGAGAAGCACTAGTCCCAGGGGACAATATAGCCCATCCTGGAAAGACAGATTCCCCAGCCCCGGAGCTAGGAATTACTGATACTTGGATGCTGGTCCTGGCAACATTTTTTATTCTTCAAGGTCAACCTTGCAGATTTAAGGACAAGCTTGAACTGATATAGAGTGAGCTACTTTTCACTAATCCTTCCCCAGGCCCACCTGCAAAACCTGGGCAAACCTGAAAATTCCTGAAATTCAGGGGGAAAGTGGCCACCCAGCCCCAGGAGGCTTGCTGTATGTAGGGCTTTGTCAAGGGCAAGCGTGAGAACAGTGTGTTGAGAAAGGAAGCCACCCCCTGCTTTGCCCCTGCAGTGTTTATGTTGGAAAAGGCTCAAATCAATGCTAGAACTGCAGGAAGAGACTGCACCTGCAGATATGATGCCCCTGGTCCCCTCCCAGCTAAGTTACCTCTTGGAAGAGTTGCCCACAGGACAGGTCACTGGGAGGGGCATGTGTTGATGGAATGCTCACTACCTGTAAGAAGGAAGAAAAATTGTGTACAGAATCAGCAAAAAATGAGGGTTGTGAGGGAAAGGTAACATGGGGAAGGGACTTGAAGGACTTGAGAAAGGGAATGGTACCCACTTTCCCATCACTCACTTCTTGATTTTTCTCTTTTCCACAGTGGAAACGTGGTAAGACAAAGTAGGTGGGGAAGGTGCCCAGATCCTTTTGGAGCATGGATGAGCTTCCTTGCTTAGTTTTGTTCTATGATCTTTCTCTGAGGGGTACTTCCCACTCAAGACTTAGCTCCCCAGCTTTGCTCATTCTCCCTCTCCTGCATGTCAGCTTTATTTGGGTTCTGATCAAGGCCTGCTAATGCATCTCATTCTAAACCAGCCTCCCCAGGCTTCCTGGAGCCTCTGTGTTTCCACCCCAGTCAGTCATTGCTGGGTCAGTACATGAACTTAGCCCTATGGAGATCAGATTGCTTTCTGGAACTCACCTCAAACTCCATCTGCCCAGCCACTCTAGACCATCTAGAATGGTCCCATTTATCTAAACAGGTCATCATAGAGAAGTAGCTGGTGAAGACAGCTAGCTTGGAATTCACATACCCAGCTTCATTCAGTACTTGCTAGCTTTGTGATTTTGGGTCAGTCATCTGCTCTCTTTGACCCCTTTCCTGAGTTGTAAAATTAGAGTGATACATTATTGCAGGGATTAAATGGGAGATGTGGGAAAGTGCTAAGCACAGTGCCTGGTGCACAACAAGAGATAGTAAGTAGCTTGCTTAATTAAAATTAGCTGTTTCCACTTGACCTTGTCTAACCTTGGGGCTGTTGCAATGCCATTGCCACCTTCCCTCTTTGATACCTACCCTGTGCCAGGACTCTTGGTCCCCTTGGAAGGTCACCCTGACCAATTCCCCACCCTCCATGCCACTTTTCCCTGCTTTCCACTGTGCTTCCTGCTCTGTGACCTCCTCTAGCTCAAGTAATGAGTAACTTGAGCACACGCTGTCCCTTTGGACTGTGCTGTGCTGGGCTTTTGTTCTGAGGCCCCTTGTGTGAAGGGTGCTGTGGCAGCAGGTTGAAAGCAGAAAGGACGAGGTTCTCCAGAGGGAAGGTGCCTCTGGCAGGTGGAGTGTGACTGGGTAAGGGGGGAGGTGCAGACCTAAGGAACTAAGCAATTACCTGCCTAAGGAGGTCTAGTATTTTTCTGTAAAGAAAGGAGAAGGGATTCTTCAGTCAGTCTTAAGGTTCAGGGTGAAAAGATGATTTTTTTTTTCCTATGCAGGCTAGGGGAGAGGAATGGTTCTGGAATACTATGATTGGTTCTGTCCAATGTTAGTGTTGTGTGTCGGGGGTAGAGGGTGGGGGGAGGTATAAAAAGGAAGCAGAGAACAGGACCAGCCACAGAGAGTAGAGGGAGGTTAGGGATCTCTGTCCAAGCCAGGATGACAGGTTCTAACTCAGGAAAACAGATGTGGCTATGGTTGAAACTGAGTCTACCCTGGGGCAGAGACTGGGGTCCAAAGGTGAGAATAGGGCAGGATGATCCTGTTTGTGGCCTGCCAGAACCCAGGCTGAGAGAAGAGGCAGGACACTAGCTGTCAGCCGCTTCTGCTCTAGATGGAGAAACTGCTGTGGAGGTTCACCTGCCTTGCAAAAGACAGAGAGAGTTCCTTGGCAGGCTGCAGAAAGGCGATCGGGTTTAGAAAGCAGAACACTGCCTCTGAACTATGGGCTGTCTGATCTCCTTGGTCAAACATGATTTAGTCTGCTCTGTAGAGGACTCGGAGGGCTAAGCCACCAGTTCCACGGCCACACACACATGCTCGTGCACAATGGGGTTCTGTATGGCCAGCCCTAGTGTATTTTAAGTACAGAGTGGAGGGGGTGAGGGTAAGTGTTGCATGGTGACTCATCCTGGCAACAGAAACTGTGCAGTGTTGAGGGAAACAGCTTAATGGCAGGCTCTTGTTTGCAGTGAAAATCAGCCTGAATGCACAGCTCTGCAATGGAGGACAGGGAGGCTATGAGAGAGGGGCATTGGGCAATGCTGCCTGATGGGCACAGTGGTGGGGATGTGAGTAAAAGCTTACGTGATGCCAAACACTGGGTAGAGCACTTCATCATCCTTCATGGAAGCCCAACTGCTCTGTGGATCATCCTCCTTGTGTGCTTCACTAAGGACCTACCTGTGTGACAGAAAAGCTAATCATTCTCCAGAATGTTCCTTAAAGAGATCAGAGATCCTGAGTGGGGACAAGTAGAAACACCCCTTCACTATTCTCATTTAAAGTCACTGTAGCTCTTGCCTGTTTCACTGGGTCTGGGATTGAATTCATATTCTGGGTAAAGACGTAATATGAACATAACAATAAAGGACTTTTTTAAAAAAAAAGATTTATTTATTTGTGCATACAGAACTGGGGTACAGGCCGGACACTCAAGGGCAGCGAGAAGCTTCACCAGAGACAGAGCGGGAAGCAGAAACAGGCAGATCGGCAAAGTACACTGCTGAGGGGAGCAGTGGGCCGGCCAGGAGAGGTCTAACACGCCATGTGGTCACCTCCGGGGCAGGCGGGAATCGAACTCATGCGGAAGTGGCTTTAGCTTCTTAGTGCTGTGCTTTGACCTGCTGCGCCACCAGGGAGGGCCCAATTTCTTTTTTTTTTTTTAAAGCAAGGCTCCTTGGCAGGGCCAGCTTTTCCTGCCATCAGTGGAAGTGAAAGGTTACCTGTTCATCTCCCCTATCTCCATGCCCTGACCAGAAGACTTTCAATAGCAGCGATCACAGTAGAGGGCAAGTGACATATGTGGCATGCAAAGCATGATTTTTTTTTTTTTAATGATACCCATTTGTGTGGTGGTTTTTTTTTTTAAAGATTTATTTATTTATCCGTACAGAGCTGGGATATAGGCCAGAGGTGCAGGGGTGGCTAGAGGATTCACCAGAGACAGTGGGGAGCAGAACAGGCAGATTGATGAAGTACACTGCTGAGGAAACAGCGGGCGGGTCAGGAGAGGTCTGCCACGCCATGTGGGTCACCTCCGGGGCGGACGGGGATCGAATTCATGCTGAAGTGGCTTTAGCTTCTCAGTGCTGTGCTTTAACCAGCTGCGTCACCAGGGAGGGCCACAGAGAATGATTTTTGTTTGTTTCTTTTGGCCATGGAGGTGCATGGCCTACAAGTGTTTGTGATGTGGTAGGTGACAGGGTGGCAGTGGTACTGGAGCACCCAACTGCATCCTTTGTGCTGAGGTGGGGGAGAGCAGAGGGGTGTAGAAAGCATAGTAAGAGATTGACTTTGCTATTCCCTTGGAAAATGTCTGTTACCAATCAGTTGATCAGCATATCTTCTAGACTTTTGTAAATACCTT